AAAGAAAGAAAGAAAGAAAAGAAAACACAAAGTTATCTGGAGAAAGGGCTGGCATATTCCAGGTAAACAATTTTACCAACTGTTGGGGCTTTCAATAAGTGATGCTATCCTAAGATTAGACTGAAATACATGGATAAATATGTCATCTTCTTCCCTTATCCCAAATAGTCACATTTTGACATTACTTTTCTGAAATCCTTGAGCAACCATTATCCGCAGTAATGTTCTCATATTAATTCATATCCTGTTCCATGCAGTCTTTTGTCTCACCTTCATAGACTTCCACAAATATTTGTTGTATTCTTATAAGAGTCTTTGCCAACCAGGATGCCCAGACCTCAAAAAAAAAAAGACACTTGTAAGGGTCTCAGCAACCAATGTAAACCAAAACCATTTTATCCATTATGAAGTCTCTATCAACACATTCTAAACATCAATTCTCCACAAATTACCACTACAGAACAATTCATCTCACTCTGTTTCTGTCACATTTTAATCCATCATACAATAATACACTATCCCTTAAAACCAGCAACTTTTATCTCAACAGACAGAAAATGATGCTCAATCTTGGTCAGAGTCCATAGATCCTTAGGATGCTGGGAGACTGTCATGAGCTGTCAGAATAACTTAAACTGTAATTGAATGCATTTCTTGATGTATTTACTTTCATTTCCCATTGAATCTTAGGAGTGTGGTGGATGTGGAGTTTGATTGAAAGGAGGAAATTTACTTGTTTAGAGAACTTGTGCAGAGATTATGGCTGTAATTTGACTTTACAGTGGGTCCTACTTGAAATCTGTGTTCATATACTTGACGTGAAATTTGTAAGTATAGTACTGTGCTTTCTCACCTCTGTTTTAATGCCTCTTCATATGGAAGTGTACTGATATAACAAAATTTGTACACAATCATCAATAATTTGCTTTGCACATTGCCTAGAGTACACAGAAAACTTTCTCTGATATTAACACTTCATTTATGTAGCTGAGCTACAGATTGGTTCCACCACTTTAGATTTCTAACAAATTAAACGAAAAGACATCCATAACATTATCTGTGGTACCCAAATCATTTTCAGGAATAATCCAGTACATTCTATTTTGCTCTAATCTTCTTGGCTTCAGAAAAAAATGAACAGTATTGATTAATTTGATTGATTCCCTACAACTAATTACAGAACTTAGTTATCTCCAAATAAGCAGAGTCAAATGTAATGACCAAAGCTTGGCCCCCATGGGCTTGGACATTAGGGATCAATTATAGGGCAAAGAGGACATTCTAAGTCTTGATGGTGGAAGTTTATCTAAATAAAATGTAGTGACTCATCTTTTACTTCCCACAGTAACAATTGAGAATTAGATGTGAAATGTTTTAAGCTGGAGCAAGCAAGAAAAAAGGAAGATGATTTACTCAATAAATACTTATGCCAATAGAGAAATATCTCACTAGAAATTCCAACAAATCCTAACAAGATTATAAGTGTGACCTTAAGCTTTATGTTTTATAAGCAGAACAGTGAGATGTTACCATTCTTAAATTTCTTTCTCACGAATTTAATCAGATAAAGAAGAGTTTCTCATGTCAGAAAGAGTCCTGTTTTGACAAAGAATCCTTTGATCAGTAAAAAGATCTCATAGCACGGCCTGAGAGACAGGTCAGTAAAGTTTTGTAGTAAATATTTTAAATAGTTTAATGGACTGTCATCAGGAAAATAAGCCATTATAAATCTACATCCTTTCCCAAAATACAAGCCCAAGAAATTTGAACAAGGTAAGCCATAGTAATATTTTTTGATAAATTTAATTTGCAGTATATTTAGCCAAGTAGGCAGGTTGGAGATAATAGTTTTCCTACTTGGGAACATTTACTGTGCCATAGAGAATATGTTATTCAATCACAAAAAGAAAAAGACAAGAGTAAACTTGAAGTATAAATGAAGGCAATCAGAATGTGGTAATGTGTGGCCCCACGTTGGAGCGGTGTTTTTTACCTTAACTAGACATTTGATATCTCTGGACTAAGATCTCTCAATGGTTTTATATATATGGAGTAGACAAAGCAAAACAACACATACCTATAAAGATCTACCATGTGTTGGACACAATGACACTTTCCATCCTGTATAGTCATCCAGTGACTTGGGAAGCTTACACAATTTGCTTATGGGTTTTAGGCTGTTTATCTATAATAATGTTAAAATGTACCTGATCTGTAACTTTTGCAAAATAAAATGACTATAAAATTACTATATTTACATACAAAAGCTTTATAGTTTTAGGTATTGAATATCTATAAATTTCAGCAATATGCTTAAAATGATCAAGGACGGCATTGATCTAAACTGTAACCAATATTCTCAATTTACAGCATGACCAATCCATGAGATTTCATGTTACCTTGTGTGTGAAAAAAGGTCTCATAATTGATAAATCCATTAAGCTTTATTACAAACAGAGTCTGAGTTCTAGTTCCAAACTCCCATGTCCTAAAAATTCCAGTCCCAGATTTACTGGAGTCTTGGGTATCCTCAATGTAACTGTTGTCTCCTATCACATAGCAACATGTGCTTCTTAATTCAGAAATCAAAATCATTGTTGTAATTGTCTTCAATTTTGTGATACCCTGAGCTCTGATCTGCAGCCATAATTGAAACATGTTTGTTTTCTAAAAATGGAATACAGAAATTTAAGAATCAGTTTTACTGTTCAGCGCCTTCCTTTGGTTATCACTTTCTGGGAGACATGTCTTTCTTTGTCTGAATCAAATTCTCTCTTTTTAATTTATTTTATTTGATATGTACTTTACATCATTCTTCCTTTTTATACAGTGCATTCTTTCTCCTCTTAGGTATAGTTCCAACAAAATTCTCACCACCAGTTCACCCATGCACCATTACCATAGTCTGCTGCATAAGAACACACTCCCTCCCCTGTTGTGATCCCTCTCCCTCCCCCTCCACTGCAGTGTCTCTGATAAATAGCTGCCTGTTGATTTTATTTCATAATTTATTTGAATTATTTTTCTTGGTCCCATAGTTGGTCCCCCTACATTCCTTAAAATTTTCATTAAATGAAGCAAATAGAAGGGACAGCACACAATATTTTTGTTTCCTAAGTTCCAAGACCCATATCATATAGAAAGATTTTTTAAAATACACTGGTCACTTTTATGAGAATGAAAAGCATCTATTCACTTCAATTGAAACTTTGGTTACTTCGCCTGAAAAAATTGTTGAAGAGCACTAAATTTTACACCACACATACTAAATACTGTTTGAATGAACTGAACAGTTTATTCCTTCTGAAATAGATTATCATATTAAATTAGTTACAAACCAAGCTTTGCAAGTTTATCAAACAAAAATTACAGTGAAATGTCTACAAGAGAGGAATAACATTTTATTAAGTATTGAATGGATAATAAAATGTCCTGATTAGCCCTAATCTAACACTTTCTACTTTAAAACCAAGGCAAACCCAGCATAAAAGAAGACAGATAAGGGAGATGGACTGAACGAATAATGCATATGCAGCCATTTCACAGACACTCTTGTATCAGAACCATGGTAAAGATCATGACAGGTCAGAATACTGAATATTAGACACTGGTTCATCACAGCCTGAGTCAAATCAAGGTGTGTGTATTTATTGATACTAATTTGCACAGGGTCCATCAATATCAAATATACACAAAATTCATAATCTGTACTTTGTCATATGCAAGTTACCCACATGAAGAAAAGAGATGTCGCTGACCATATAAACATTTGATTCTGGACTCTGTAGGTCATCGGAAAAAATGATAATGGAAAAGAATATCCACATCATATTCAATAATTAGAGAGGACCTTAAAGATCATATGATGACTTTGCAATTCACTGGGTGGTGGGCATTTTTGGGGAAAAAGAAGTAGTGAAAACTATGAGAAGCAGGAATCTAGATTTAGTTATCTGAAGTAAGGTCATTTAAAGACAAGGAAGGAATAAGTAATTCAGGACTGAGAATTTATACAAAAGATTTGGAGTTATATATGCCAGTTACTCTTTCTGTATGTTGTGTTAAATTAGTATCCATGGAGGAAGGCAGCCATTTTGCCAGTTCTCTGACTTGAATAATCAAGAGTTGGTCGGGTTTTTTCCGTCCCTGGATATGAGTTATCTAGAGAGGAATTTCTAGTGATCTTGTCATCTCTGTTGGCTATGATGCATGGCTTTCTACTTAAAACACACTTGTTAAGTTGTTACTGGCAAAAACTCGAAGAGCAGCATTCAAGTAGCTAATGATAAAGAGTCACAAAAAGCTGTCATATTCAACAAAAGCAATTCATTATTAGCTAACAGTAATAAAGTCAGAGCTCCTTTTCATGCAACTGCTTTGATATCACAGTCAGAATTTGTTTTTATTTTTCTTTCAAGGAAGTTTAACAGCAGTTACGTTTTCATGGAGATATGGAATCAAACTTCCAATGGTTTCATTTTGTTGGGGTTGTTTCCCCCAAATCGAACAGGTTTGCTCCTTTTGCTCCTTATTACCTTCATATTCTTTCTCGCTTCACTGGGAAACTCAACCATGATTCACCTCATCCGCGTGGATTCCCGGCTCCATACACCAATGTACATTCTCCTCAGCCAGCTCTCCCTCATGGATCTGATCTACATGTCCACCACTGTCCCCAAAATGGTGTTCAACTACTTCTCAGGTCAGAAAGGCATCTCTTTCCTGGGATGTGGAGTTCAGTGCTTTTTCTTTGTGACTATGGCAAGTTCTGAGGGTTTACTGCTGGCTTCTATGGCTTATGACAGATATGTGGCCATCTGCCACCCCCTCCATTACCCTATCCGCATGAGTAAAAGGGTGTGTGTGAAGATGATCATAGGATCTTGGCTCATGGGCATCACCAACTCTTTACCACATACAATCTATGCCCTCCATATTCCTTACTGTCGGTCCAGGGCCATTGATCACTTTTTCTGTGATGTCCCAGCCATGATAACTCTGGCCTGTATGGACACCTGGGTCTATGAGTACATGGTTTTTGTGAGCATAGTTCTCTTTCTTGTTATCCCTTTCTTTGGAATCACAGCTTCCTATGGCCGGGTGCTTTTTGTTGTCTACCATATGCGCTCCAAAGAGGGAAGAAAGAAGGCCTTCACCACCTGTTCCACACATTTAACTGTGGTGTCATTTTACTATACACCTTTTATGTATACTTACCTCAGGCCAAAGACTCTTCGCACCCCACAAGAAGATAAGATTCTAGCAGTTTTCTACACCATTCTGACCCCAATGCTCAATCCCATTATCTACAGCCTGAGGAATAAGGAAGTCCTGGGAGCCATGACAAGAGTATTTCCAATATTCTTCTCCAAGAAGAAATAATCATGACTGGTCTCACTCACTTTTATTTCCCTTTCCATGTTGACTCAGATATCACTGATAGAAATGCAACATGAGCCATATATGTAATTTAAAATTTTCTAGTAGTTATTTAAATAATATAATTTATCTAAATATATTTAGGAGTTCCAAAATAATATTATAAACAATATTGAAGTAATTATATCTTGCTATATGATATTAAGTAAGTTGTATTGCATATATTTGTACATATTATTATATTTTTACTAATTGACCAATTCTGACTACTATACGCAGTCTATTTTAAAAGTTAATTGATTTGGGGCCCTCCCTGGTGGCGCAGCAGGTTAAAACACAGCACTAAGAAGCTAAAGCCACTTCAGCATGAGTTCCATCCCTGCCTGCCCCCGAGGTGACCCACATAGCATGGCAGACCTCTCCTGGCCCACCTGCTGCTCCCCTCAGCAGTGTACTTCTTTGATCTGCCTGATCTGCTCCCTATTCTGTCTCTGGTGAATCCTCTCACTGCCCCTGCACCTCTGGCCTGTACCCCAGTTCTACATGCAAAAATAAAAATAAAAGTTAATTGATCTCTATTTTGTTTTGACTGTAGGTATTTGAAATATTTTTGCATTTTATACCTAGAGATTGTTACAATTTTGAGTAAAAATATTTCAAGTTCCCAAATGTCAGATGCTTACTATGTTGTAAGACACTAAATTAGATAGCCAATAAAATGTTGGTTAAATATATATTTATACACATGTGTGTATATATATATATATATATATATGCATATGCATATGCAACACATGCACACTAAAAAGTTAACTTTACTCATTATATGCTCTTGCAAATTTCATTATGGAATATTTGGATGGGCAATATGAAATAACAAGAAAATAAGGATGCTAATGTACTTATGAGTTTGCTTATTTAAAAAAAAAGCTGAAATAACTTTGTTTTATAACAAAATAATTTCAGGTGTGCATATATATTATATTTGAATAAGTTACATTAAATCCATTCATATATTTTCATCATTGTACTATTTTTATTTAGGTGTGAATTTTTCCCATGTTGCATATAGGTCCATTTCTCTTCATATGTCTGTTACAGTACCTTATCTACCACCAAAAGACCACAATCCTCCACTATAAGCCATTGGCCACCCTCCTCCTACTTTTCCTTCCCCACAACCTCCTCCTTGGTAGCTTTAATTCTACCATGAGATTTTTGGGCTTGTTTAGTTTTCCTTTTCTGTTCCTTTGTTCAGTTTCAATGACACCTTTTTTCTACAGCATACTACATCTCTTTTATATAAAAATATTTTGAGAGGCCCTGAATGACTTAGGATTTTTCTGATTTCATTAAAAATATTGAGATTAAGGGCTCTTCGTGGTGGTGCAATGGGTTAAAGCACCACAGTATGAAGCTCTCCAAAGCCACTGCAGCATGAGTTCGATCCCTGGCCAGGGAGCTGACCCACATGGCATGGCAGACCTCTTCTGACCAGTCTGCTGCTCCCCTCAGCAGTGTACTTTGTGAATCTGCCTGCTCTGCTCCCCACTCTGTCTCTGATGATTCCTCTCATACACCACACGAGTGGCCTGTACGCTAGTTCTGTAAACATAAATAAATATTTTTTTAAATATATTGAGATTAAATGACCTGAAGTAAGATTTGAGAATAATCAGAATTTTTTCAGTTTGTCAATTATTAAATTGGGAGATTATATATATGAATGAGACAATGAGCTGCAGTATGTGATATATAAAATGAAAACAGATTCATGAAGCTTTAACTCCAATATGTGAAATACATCACTTGCACAGGTTGAAATTCTATGCTAATATAAAAATACTTTAACAAATGTTTAGCAACTGTTTGACTAATATTTATTTGAAGCCTTTCTAAAAAAGAACTGCCTGAAGAGTCCACTGATCAACCCCCAAAGTCCTTTCATTGCCCACATTTAAACTCCTTAACATTTCCTGTTTTCATTCCTTCTTTGTGGGTTCCTGTGAACTGACCACTAGCTGGCCATTCATGGAAAACTGTCACTTATTTCCTATAAACCACAGCAGAACATCATTGGCTACCTACAGAGTCAAGTCCTTAACATGAGGTGGGTCTGGGGCTCATAGGCCACCGTTGACCTGGTTACATGCTATCTTCATAGTGGCCTCAGGATAACTCTGCCTGGGATAGCATCAAAAAAGTTCCTAACACAACTATCTCTTTTAAAAAATATATTTTATTTATTTATGCATACAGAAGTGGGGGTAAAGGCCAGAGGTGCAGGGGCAGCAAGAGGATTCACCAGAAACAGAGTGGGGAGCAGAACATGTAGATCGACAAAATACACTGCTGAGGGGAGCAGCAGGTGAGACTGGAGAGTTCTGTTGCGCCATGCGGGTCACCTCACAGGGAGGAATCAAACTCGCACTGAAGCAGCCATGCATGGCTTGGCTTAGCTTCACAGTGCAGGCTCCAACCTGCTGTGCCACCAAGAAGGGCCCCCACTAATGTCTCTTGACATATAGTCACAATGTTCCCTCCTCTGTTCCTAGTAAAACTTTGTCCCCCACTCCAATCTCACCCTCAGGACTTTATTCCTCATACCATTATCACGTGATCAGCTTTTACTAGACGGTATGATTTCCAAAATAGCACCAGAACTTCTCGAACAGCAGTCTTGCAAGCCTGCTCCATGACTACTCTGTCTCATCATATTTACACTGCAAAGCAGCAACAAATTTCTTGTCTCAACACTTCTTAAGTGTTTTTGTGACTTGATCTCAAAGCTAAGATACACCATAAACATTATAATTATTTCCTTCAAATAAAAGTGTGATATTGTCATTTTAGAAGTTTTCTTCCCATTTATTCCCAAAAGTTTCTAAATATAAATTCATATTCAAGTGCTTCTAAAAGTACATTATCTTCACCATAACATGTGTTCTTTTTGTTGAGATATAATTGGTTCACAAACCTACATATGATTGAGAATCCTCACCCACCTGCCCTCACAGACCTCACAGCAGTCCATTGAGGACTCTTTGCATATGTCCTCAAGTCTCACCCTCTGTCTGGAGCCTCAGTCTTATGCTCTTATTTCTAGAAGTTGTTTTAATTTGGTCTTCTCTACACATACAAGTGATATCATCTGCTATTTCTCTTTTTCTTCTAACTTATTTTGTTTAGCTTTAGCAATTCCCATTCCATCCAGGTTGTCGCAAAGGCAAGAGTTCATATTGCTTTTTTTTTAGAGCTGACTAAATTCCATTGTAAATAGAAATAGATATAGTTGAGAGAAAGAGAGAGAGGTGGACATAGATATAGATTCTGCATTGTGTACATATGCCACACCTTCTTAGTCTATTCATTTATCATTGGGCAATTAGATTGGTTTTAACTTAAGCATTGAAAATGAAAGCAATGAAAATAAGAGTGCATATATCCCTCCAAGCTAGTGTTTTTATTTCTTTGGGTAGATATTACAACTGTCCTTGCTGGATTATATGGTAGATTTATTTTAATATTTCTGAATGTCCTATTTTTTTTTCCATAGGGAAAAGACCAATCTACATTCCCACCAACACTGTACAAGGGTCATTCTTCTTCACATCCTTGCCAAGAGGTTTATTTCTTGCCTTTTTCCTTCACACAGGAATAAGATATTTCATCAAGGTTTTGATCAGTGATTCTCTTACAAATTTGGAAAAAGCTGTACCTGTCCAAATAACATACCTGAAAACATGTGACTGGGCAATCAATAAAAGCAAACGGGAAATGTGGGTTATGTGTTAAGTTCCCAGGGGCTTTTAGGGGGGGTAGTGCTCAAAATGATCCCTAATGCTATTATGGATTATGTGAAAGGTTATTCCATTCCAACCACAGTGTTGTAGCTGCAAACCTTTCTGGGCCTCCTGGGTGACAGAAGGGCATTCATATCTCAAATAGCCCCATTCTCTGGCCCCTGGGTGTGCTGATATAGAAGTGGGCCAGGCCCTCTCTGGTGGCACAAATGGTTAGGACACAGCACTGCAAGCAAGCTGTAGCTGCTTCAGTGTGAGTTCAATACCCTGCACTGGAGGTGACCCACAAGGCACAGCAGACCCTCCTTACCTGCCCGCTGTTCCCCTCAGCAGTGTGCTTCATCTATCTGCATGTTCAGCTCCCCACTCTGTCTCTGGTGAAGCCTCTCACCTCCCCTGCACCTCTAGCTGTACCCAGGGCTGTATGAATAAATAAATAAATCTTTAAAAAAAAAAATAAGAAAAAACAGGCCAAGGGTTGGTCTCTTGAAACAAATGTAGCCTTTGCTGCAGCCATATGGACTATAAAGGGCTCTTGGGCCCTGCAGGCTTTTGATCCAGCCCGGCCCTATGAGCTAGACATGTGTTACTCAGGAAGGTTTGGGTGTGACTCTGGCAGAAATCAGGACAGCTACTATAGCCCGTTGGGTTCCGGTCCCAACTCTGAAAAGGAGCCAAGACTACGTATTCTTTGTTTGAAAAGCAGCAAGGTGTGGTATGAACAGCTTTACTAGCTAATGAAAGCATAACTGCTACAGCTCCTGTCCTAGTGAGAAATACCTACCCTAGAGTCAACTGGGTACTGGTTTGGACGATAAAGCTCCACAGTGGTACTGTCCAGACACACACTTTGGCAAAATGAGGCCATACCTACAACAGAGTAGCATTCTGTCTACTAGCCCCTACAGGTGGGGTTTCAGGAAATCCGTGGTCCAATGGAATATGTCAACATGGAACTGACTTCAGAGGCCTGTGTGGAAGGCCAACCTGAGGCCTCTATGCAGGATGAAAGACAATGAACCCATGCAATGAGGGAAGCCAACAGAGGCCTGGTACATGGCAACAGCCATGCATGCCAGTCAGCATCATAGAAGCTATGGCTGTACACCCAGGAACAGACACTATTTGGTTTGAAACAGGGACAAACAGAGCAGCCAATGGGTTTAGCTGTGAGCAAGTATGAATGGTGATGGCTCATGA